GTATTCTCTCTGCAAAAAAAGAAAAAGAAAAAAAAAAAAGATGGCCATCTGGGTGCTGTGGCCTGCCCAAGTCTCTCCTCTCAGGAAGAAAGACAAAATGTTCACAAAGGGCCTTGGAAGATCTATTTGAGGAGAAGCCTGAACAGAGGGGAACCCATCTATTGTGGCCACCCGTGCCAAGCCACTGGTCTCGTTCCCCAACCCAGGCCTGGATGCTCATCCCACAAAAACACAAATGTCCAAGAGATGTGTTTTGTGGGGGAAAGAAAGGCTTTACTCAGTGGCCAAGAATGGAAAAGAGGGAGCTTTGCTTCTGAGCTTCTCAGCTCTAGGGGTTACAGATGCAGGACAAGATTCAAGAGTCAAATAAAGGACATGATCGTGTCCTTTCTGGGAACAGGTGCAGATCTCCCAGGAACAGGGGTAACATTTCTTTTTCCCCTTTTCTGGTTGTGGTGGCTGGTAGGCGTGTTTAGCTTTGAAGGGGGCGGAGAGAGGTCAGGCAAGTCCAGGTCCAGGTGGCACTGTATTATAGTCCTGAACAAAACATCTCTCCACCATCAACGTGTCTGTGTGCAGTGCTGAGCAAAATCTGACCCCAAGACTAAGGCAGCAAAGGGGACAGACCCAGTATGAAGGCAGAGGTGCCTGTTCATCCTGTTCCCATCACTCCTAAGACACCTGCAAGCACAAGGGCCAGTGTTTTCTGCAAAAGTGGCCTTTGGGTCTCTGAAGGAAAGCCTAAGCAACTGCTCTTATGAGCCATGTGTCACAGGTGTCAACTGCAGCAGTGCTGATGGGTGACTGATGAGGTATCTCCCAGCCTCAGGATCTCCAAAGGCAGATTTTTAGGTCAATCAGGAGTATGTGAGGCAGAGAGGTTTAGGTTTTTCCTCAGTGGCAGCCAGGGACCATGTCTCTACAGCACTCAATGTGCTGAAAGAGGTCCTTCTTGGCTTAGATCTCTAAGGAAAGAAACAAAAGAGAGAAATATAGAGAGAGGAGAGGGGGCTTAACAGTGACACAGGTTTATTCAGGACAAATCTGTGGCAGAGGTTGGAGGCAGGGGTGGGGATTCACCGCAGAGGCTGGAACCCATGTTCTGCTTACAGCCTAGGGAAGTTATAGGGCAGCAAGGGAGTGGAGGAATTTCTGTAGTAAGGCTATTGCTAGGGGTTGTCAGGGAAAGGTCCTATGGTGTCACATTCATTCTTTGAGGTGGCCACTGCTCCTTGTTGAACCAGGTGTTTCTGAGGATTCCAGTCCCAGATAAGGGTTCCCTTCCCTGTGTGATGATGGTGTATTGCCTGGGTTTAGGTCAGGCTGAATCACAGTGTCCTGGGGTGACTTGTTCTAAGGTGGAGGATTTGTTCCAAAATGGAACTGTGTCAAGTACTTCCTAACAAGTCAGACTGCAGTCTTCAGTCCAACCATTCCACTGCCTGCCCTGGGGACATATCATGGGAAACCTTGGTCTTCTCCTTGCCCTCTCCAGTGCTCGGAGAATGACTGGATCTGATCCCAAACAGCTTGAGATGTTGCTTTGCTCCTCTCCGGAGTGTCTTGAAAGTCCTGGTGTCACCTCCAGGTTGTTGAGCCACAGGGCAGTTGTGGAGCACGGAAGGGTGCTTTCCTGCCAGTGGAGGGCA